AAAACCAGTACCCCAATATTAAAAGGATTACACCAACGTACGTACGGGTTTTCAAACATAAACCTTTTTCCTATCGTATCGCCTTCCTAAAACCTGCCTAAAAGAGCTCTTAGAGAGGGGTTTTAAAGGGGAGATTTTCAGATTTCAAAACGGAACGGATTCTAAATATGGAGGTAGGTTTTACTGGGTCTCTACAAGGAAACTGACTTTGACTAAAAAAAAAGCCCTTAAAAATAATAAAAAGGGAAAAAGAAAAAAATATGCAAAAAAGACAAATATATATGTATGCATGTCAAGGTATAGCTTACTGACTACAACTTGCATAAAATAAATAAATAAATAATTCAGTAACACGGCAAACATGCACTTATGTATGCAAACGTTAGCGCCCCGGTTTCCGGCGCTTATCTTGGCAGCGCTGCAAAAGCTTTTGCACACTTTAGCAGACTGTCATTTAACAGCGTGTTTCTCAAATGTTACAGCCGCCTGTAACCTCCTGGGTAAATTCCCACTACAGCGACTTCAAGCTAATCGTCTCAACAGTTCAGCTGCTTTCAGATACCGGGTGATACGTATGCCATCAATAAAAGAATATTCTTAAAAACTAGCACTTACACAAAAGTTGTGCCGCGCCCTCTAAATCTTGGGGAAGATCGTTTCACCTGCGCTACCAGTTTCCGGCACACTGCAAAGAAAACCTGCCTTAGTTTCCTAACACTTTATATACATATGTATATGCACAGATGTTCCGGACTTACACTTTTGCTGGCTCCGATATATCCTAATACAGTAATAAATTAACGATGATCTCCTCTATGGGCGCCTTTGGGAATTTGTCGTAGGGTGCGGCTCCTAATAGCGCTACGTATAATCATCTTTTTATTTATTTAAACAAATAAAATTTTATTTAACCTTTTATTTATACCTTTTTTTAAAAAAAAAATTTAAAAGCGATTTTAGTTCTCACATGAATTTACCGCGGACGTTTAAAACAAAAGGAAACCGCACTTTCGGTAGTGGCAAGTCCTGCCGTTGACTAACGTTTTGGCGACTCCGCTAGATACGACGTACATTTATATCCTTGGTTTCCTTATTTCTCGGCGTTGGAGCCACCTCCCACATCCTTCTGAACCTTTTACTTGTATTAGTATTCTCGATAATCTAACTATCCCTTTTCTTTTCCCTTTTTTCCAGTGCATTATACCAGTTGCTAAAAACGCTAGCCTGGCAATGCCGATAAAGCTTTTTATTGTCTTTGGTAGGCAACAACAATAACCTATACAACGGACAGGCAAGGAGTTTTGGGTAAGTAAAAAAAAAAAGAATTGGAGGAAATTATATATTACTGACTAAATTCTATGCTCATCTTCCTATTCAAAAAAAGAAAATCACTTCAATTAACACCATGTGCGACGTTCCTGCGACTAGCTAGCTTGTAGTGTGTGGTGGCAGCTGCTCCATGACATCACCATCAATTCGCCGGATCCAAGGGCACTACGCAGACTACATACGTACATATATTTCCACAATTCTCCTAGGGTTATTTTGCTGGACGCGCTGAGCCTATTTTGAGGGAATCACCAACAAAAAATTTCGGCGATTGCCATGGAAGAGCGCTCCCATAACAAATTCGACTATGAATAGAAGTGAATTTTAAGTTGGTACTTAAATTTGAGTTGCAACTTTATTAGTTTCGACTTAGTGGCTGGACTATGAATACGCGCCATTGAAGCGATTAGTTGAAAAGCCGTTTACACCAGGCGATTGTTGCTTTCAACTAAAAATCGCCTGAAAATTCGCCTCATGTAAATTCCCTATAAAGCCCAGCCAAATGCATTTTAAATCGAAAGAGTTAAAATGGTGATTACAATAAAACACAATTTTAATCGAATAATCACCCCTAAACGCAGCAAATAATGGGTAGGTTCAGAAGGCGCAGCAGTTGAGCGTAACGGTTGCTAAACAAATCAGTGTTCTTTATGCGTTGTTGTTGTTGTTGTAGCAGAATACAAATTCCCCAAAGAATTTTTGGGTAGTGTTGCTGGAGTGACAGTCCTCCGCCAGATATAAATCTGGGTCGTTCCGGTTACGTAGACCGGACTATCGTGGGAACGTTCTTTATGCGTCTTCTGAACGGCTTGATACATCAGCTGTCAAATTCAACTCTCAAAGGTACACATCAACATGTCTCAAATGATCAGAAAAATATTAAGCTGATGCCAGATAAAACTTTATAGCTTTGCGTGACATTTATAACTTTGCCAGCAAAGCGCCAGACGCAAAAGGTATGCCGCAATGAACGCAAAGAAAATAATTTTGTACCGCTTTTTTACTCGTCAAAGTTGCTGTGGATTTTATATATTTTGCTTTAAAATTATCAGCAATGTAATTAAGTTTCTGCATGAAAACTCGAATTTGGACGAAACAAAATAAATATTAAACCGGCCGATTGTCAAACCCGTGCAAAAAGATGGGAGTCGGCCATCTTTTCGTTTCGCGCTGCAGCTTCAACGATTTATGTGGCATGCTTTGTGCATTTTCATACAATTCATCTTATCTGTCAAAGCGAATCTGTCACGTAAAGCGAAGCAAAAGATTTATGTGGCATCAGCTTTACGCTCATCTAACACGCAACAGTTCAGTTGATCAGAAGTACACAACAACGCGTTCAGTAGGGGCAATCGCAAAAGTTAGGCTATCTGCACACTTGTCGTCCAATCATGGTTGCGTTATCGTCTCGCCCTGAACTTTTGAGCCGAGCACATGCATTTCAAAGGAGATCTGCACACTTGTCGTTATCGGCTAGTTATCGGCATATCGTAGAAGATGCATAAACGGATAAGTACGGCACTGTCGTTTGCTAATCGTTGTGCACGCATGGTTTGTTTACATTTTATGCGGAAAATTAGTGAAAAAGTTAATATTTGCATTAAAATTGTATAAAAATTAATATTTTTTTGCATAAAATCTGTGGAAATTATTAAAAAGTGGATAATTGCATTAAAATTCAATAAATGTGAGCGTTTTAACTATAAAATATGACGAAATTGTAAAAAGTCTCTTTGTGCATGCACAAAACACATTTCAGGAAAAGAAAAGAAGAGATATTACTGTTGTTGTTGTTGTTGTAGCGGCTACAACAACCCCGCCCAGATCGGTTGGTATCTACAACAACAACAACAACAACAAGAGATATTACTGAAAAATGATGTCTAGGATTGTTGCAGCACAATCTATATTTTAAAAATTGCAGGTTTTTGTAAATATTTTGCGAAAATATCAACTAGAAAAACAGAAAATACCTGCTCCAAGTGAATTTTTAGACGCCGAATGAATGAAATATCACGACCGAGTGTGCGAAAGTGTAGTCGTCATGTAATCGTTGCATCTTGATTGAGACGATGATGCAACTATGATTGGATGACCAATGTGCAGAAAGCCTTACTGAGCTGTTGCGCCTTCTGAACGTGCCCAATAAAAAATCTTCAGAATCGACTAGGCGATATATCGATATGTTTTGACCATATTTATTAAAGGAAAATTTTGTTATTGTTTTGAATTTCAGCATAATCACACAGTAATCAAAATGCTACCGAAAGACTGCTTGGAACGTCGAGTTATTGCATTTATCAATAAAGAAATTGGAGATGACTGTAAGAAACTATATCGTGCTGCTGTGTTGGTAGACAAATACCATGAATCCATCGAACATATAAAGGACAAAGTATTGACTCTGGGTATATATGTATTTACTATTAATGTAAATAATTTTATTTCTTGCAGTTAAGCTGTGAATATGACGAAACATCGAATTCTACAGACATCAAATCAGCATTACACGCCCAGCAAAAAGTTAGTCAAAGCATGGAATTTCAAATAGAGAAGCTTTGCCAGTTCAGCACCCGGTTGTCAGCAAAAATTGGAAAAACGAACGAAGCGCTGAGCAAAGTTTTAAAAGATTTAGAAAACGTGCGTAAGTTACAACGATTGAAGCAATATTTGAAAATTGTGCAAGATATACAAGAAGTCAGGTAAGTGAAGAAGGCAATTATAGTACATAATGACACTAATACGATTTATATGTCAGCCAAAGCCTTAATGATACCATTCGTACAAAAGACGAAGCTAAAATGGTCAACATATATTTGACACTATTTGAAGACAGCGATTGTGAAAATAATATCACTGGCCGATTATGTAACATTGAAGCCCCGCATCTTAAACTATACGCTATAAAAACGGCTACTTTCTGGCACAAAATTCTCCGCGATAAATTTACAAGGTAATATTTGAATAAATGAGGGAAATGTTTAGATATTCGTACAACGATATTCAGGTCGGGGCCGAGCGAGAGGGGCGTGGCCCCCAAAACTCCCCTAAACAAAAAAGGATAGACCGCGCTTAATGAAAAGTCACCCCTAACCCCACAGACCCCTTGGGAGCTGTTTGAAAATGGGGGTAATTGGATTTTTTGCAAACGGATTATAACCCTCTGTCTTTTTCATTGCAGCCTGATTTTACGTGGCGGGTCGCAAACCCAGCGCACAACCCATTGCTAAGGCGGGGGTGGTTTCGCAACCGAATACAAGCTTATAACTCGAGCCGCTTGCTCCAAGACAGACCCTTGCAGCCGCACCTAATGGTGAACAGACGCTACAGATTTCAGTGAGCCCTTAACCGAATAAATCGTAGTGGCCCCCTACAGCGCCCTCTCTTTCTACCGTGACCCAAGGCTCCACTGGGATTGGTTACCGCATCTCGATCATGGGTTGCTCACGTTTCCCAAAGTGCGCGAACTAGAGATAGGCACGGGACTGAATATTTAATCCCGATCCCGCCCATCCCGAAATTCGATTTTTAAGTCAAGAACCCGCTCATTCCGACGTTTTTCAAAATTGTACCGCGGGTCCCATGGGTCCCGATATCTATCTCTAAAGCAGGCTACAAACGGACAACAAATTGAAACGATCGGTTGAGATTTCAACGTGTTTGGCGTGCTTTGCAAACCGATGAAGGTTGACAAAAGTGTTCATGTCTTTCAAATTAATTTAAATAATACTGAAAGATCTGGAATCTTCCGATTATTTTGTTTTGCTTTGCTGTCCGTTTTCAACTCAATAAAACATTAAAAGTGCATATTTCAAACATCGTTTTTAAGGAAGATTTTGTGAATTTGCGGGGGTTGCGGTTTTATCGGGAGTGTCGGAAAGGATTTTGGTCCCTTCCCGCCCGCCATATTTTTATAGATCTTCCCGATACCGCCCATCCCGGCCAACTTTAAATCAGTACCGTGGGTCCCGCTATCCCGCGCCCATCTCTAGCGCGGAAAGGACGCAAGAGTCGGGATTGAGTATAGCCGTGCAACTGTAACTGCATACCCAGCACCACGACTATACTCCATTCCCGGGTTCCACCACCTGACTCTGACGAGGTAGGAATAGCAATAGGGCGCTTGAAAAACAACAAAGCTGCTAGAGCTGACAGCTGAGCTATTCAAGTACGGAGGCGAGGAGTTTATAAGCATTCCCACGACAGCCGGTTCTACGTACCGGAATGACACGGGTTTTACCCGACCAAGGGCTGTTGTGAATTTGCGGGGGTTGCGGTTTTATCGGGAGTGTCGGAATGGATTTTGGTCCCTTCCCGCCCGCCATATTTTTACAGATCTTCCCGATACCGCCCATCCCGGCCAATTTTAAATCAGTACCGTGGGTCCCGCGGGTCCCGCTATCCCGCGCCCATCTCTAGCTCGATAAGGACGCAAGAGTCGGGATTGAGTATAGCCGTGCAACTGTAACTGCATACTCAGCACCACGACTATACTCCATTGCATTCTCGAGTTGCACCACCTGACTGACGAGGTAGGAATAGCAATAGGGCGCTTGAAAAACAACAAAGTTGCTGGAGCTGACAGCTCAGCTATTCAAGTACGGCGGCGAGGAGTTTATAAGCATTCCCACGACAGCCGGTTCTACGTACCGGAATGACTCGGGGGGGTTTTACCCGACCAAGGGCTGTTGTTTCGGCGATCTAATCCCGTTTAGGTCGGCGAAATCCATCAAACGTTGCTCGATTCTAGTGCTACATCTGCTCCGTACCCTTCTGCTCAGGGCTGGTATAGAGTCTAACCCAGGGCCAGAAATTTACACCTGCTGCGTATGCCAGAGACGACTGCATACAAACTCCACCTCGGTCAGGTGCAATGCCTGTGACGGGTGGAGTCCAGTGTTGCCGTTTTAGCCCTTTGGTGGCTAGATTTAGCTACCACATACTTTTTTTGGCCACATAAATTTAAAATTGCCCCTAGCCCTTTTTTTAGCCCCTTGGAGAATTTATTCATACTTGGCATGAAAAAGTTGTATATGCTTAATTTGATCTCATTTTTGTCATTTATGTAAGAGATGAATTTTTAAACTAAGAGAGGCTGATATATATACATATATGTATTGTATGTTCCTTACGTTTTTATACATACATACTGTAAAAGTGTAAGGGCTGTTAACTTATCTATTAACGATTTAACTATAGTTTAAAATAGATAAGTTTACGGCCCTTAATATGCTTAATTTGTTAAATTACCCATCGAGTCGATTGACCGTGTTGTTGTTGTTGTTGTTGTAGCGGCACTACTAAGCCCCGCCTGTTTCGGGTCAACTTTTAATCATTATCGTCAAGCTCAACTAACGGTAGGCTCAGGAAACGAGCTGTTGGGTGTTAGTTGAGTCGGATTGAGCTGGCATGTGAAGAGGTGGTTGGTGTCGTGGGGGTAGTCTCCACATGCCGGGCACTCATTTGGGATGTTTGGGTCGAGTCTGGACAGGTAGCTGTTTAGGCGGCTACAATATCCAGACCGTAACTGAGCCAGGGTAACGCGGGTCTCTCTAGGTAACTGAAGCTCAGTCTCTTCCACAGGTGGTGATTGGGCTCCGATAACGACATTCCTAGGCCGGGAGTCGAGGTAGGTGGAGACAGACTCCCTATGAATGTCGTTGATCGCTCGTCTGTACGTCATTGGGTCCAGTGGTTGGTCTGTGTGGGTCTGGACTGCGTCCTTGTACATGAATAGGTGCCCCCTGACGTGCCTGGGCGGAGGCTCCTCCTCCAGCAGCGGTCTGTTGGGGTGTTCACTTCTGTGACACCCCACAAGAAACTGCTTAAGGTGTTCTTACACGATATGTATTTGCATCTGTAAATTAGACTTTTTCAATACATATGTAATTGCGTATGTCTGTCAAATTCACAGTCTATTTAACTATTTAAAAATACGTTCTTTGAAAACGAAATAAATTAAACTCAGATATTTTATCTGTATATCAGATGAAAATAGAATCATTTCTATTCCGTATGTACTACGTGCATCAGCTCTGTATAGAAACAAATCTAATTTGCCTTTACACGATATGTTGACATTTCCATATGCAAAAAGTGGCATGTACACATGCAAATACATATCGTGTAAGAACACCTTTACAGAGCATCTTGTTGTGTTCCCTTACGGGGAGCACTTGGGCCTCACTGTGTAGGTGATGCTCAGGCGTCATCAGAAGGCACCCAGTCGCTGTCCGGAGTGCGGCGTTCTGACAAGTCTGTAGCTTCATCCACTGCGTCCAACTAGTCCCCGGCGACCAAACTGGCGCAGCATAATTTAGAACCGGCCGGCCAATTGCCTTGTATGTTGCCAGCAACGTTTCATTGTCTTTGCCCCAAGTGCTGCCGGCGAGCGACTTGAGGACCTTGTTGCGGCTCTGTACTTTGTTGACAACTGCGGTTGTGTGCGCGGAGAAAGAGAGCAGGCTATCAAAGGTAACCCCTAAAATTTTCGGGTTGTTCACCGTCGGTATGGGTGTGCCGTCGACGTGAATGCCTAATTCAAGCCTGACCTCCTTCGTCCAGGTGGTGAAGAGGGTCGCCGTTGATTTCGTTAGGGAGAGGGTTAGGCTCCTTGCAGTGAAGAAGCGAGAAAGGCTGGAGAGATAGCCGTTTACTTTTGAGCAGAGGTCATCAATTCCATTCCCAGACGCCAAAATCGAACAGTCATCAGCGTACGAGATCAGGGAAACTCCTTCAGGTGGCTGGGGGAGTTTCGAGATGTAGAAGTTAAAAAGTAAGGGGGAGAGAACACCACCTTGTGGAACCCCTTGTTTTATTCTTCTTGGTTTCGAGGTTTGATCTCTGAAGATTACTGATGATTGTCGACCACTAATATAATTCGCCGACCATCGCTTCAGTCCCTGTGGGAGAGAGGAGGCCTCAATGTCTTCTAGCAGCGTGGAATGGCAGACGGTGTCAAACGCCTTTGACAAGTCCAGCGCTACTAGGACAGTTCTCTCACAGGGGCGGTTTCGATTTAGGCCACGAGTTATCTGGGTGTTTATGGCGTTAAGTGCTGTTGTTGTGCTGTGCACTTTACGGAAGCCATGCTGATGTTTCGCTGGGGTTAGGTGGCAGGTGAAGTATGGGAGCAGCAGGGCCTCAAGTGTCTTCGCGACCGCGGAAAGGAGCGTTATCGGGCGATAAGAGTCTCCTCTGTTGGCGGGCTTCCCCGGTTTCAGCAGTGGGACCACTCTCCCTGATTTCCACACATCAGGAATGATGAGAGTGGTCATAGACAAATTGAGGACCTCCGTGAGGTATGCTACTCCCACAGGCCCCAAATGTTTCAACATCAGCATTCAGATTCCGTCGGGTCCAATGGCTTTGGAGGCTTTCGCCTTCCCGATGGCCCCCTTCACTTCACCGCTGGTGAAAACAAGTGGTGCACTGTTTTTGGGCAGTTTGTGCAGCCTCCTGGTCACTCGACGTTTGGCCTTGTCTACCGAAGGATGCAGTGTGAATTGCCGACTAAAATAGTTCACGCATTTCTTCGGGTCCGATGAAGCGTGACCTTCGAATGAGATTTCCACTCTGTCATCACGCTTCGTCGGGTTGGACAAGGACCTCACGGTTGACCAGAGCTTACTCACACCAGAGGTGAAGTTACAGGCCTTCAAGTGCTCTTCCCACTTTTTCCGCTTATGTTGATTTACCAGTTGCCGAATCTCCAAATTAAGGTCCCTCAAGCGAGGGTCCCCGGGGTCGACCTGGCGTAGGTGGTCACGCTCATTTGCTAGTACAGCTGCTTCAGCCGGGAAATTTGGGCGGACTTCCGCGATACGTCCGGACGGTATGAAGCGAGCTGCTGCGGCAGTGACTACCCTGCGGAACTGGCGTTCGCCAGCATGTACGTCTGTGGGTGTGGGGAGGGCGGCGAAGCTGCTCTCGGTAACTTCCGCGAAGCCGTTC